GACATCATCAGAACATTTATTATCACAATGTGCTCAAAATGTAGCTTCCTTCACCTTCCCATTAAATTCAGTCTCTTACCTGATTAGTCACCGTCTGCTTTGGGCCGCATTGGTTCACTGCAACAGGAATATGAACAATATTACAGATCCTGCATCACCTGTGTCTAATCAATGAACTGTACAGCTCCATTACTCTCAATAACTACCAATGACCTTCCTCTGCAATACTGCTTTTATATACCTCCTCACTGAAACCTATAGCACTGTAAGTCTGTTCCGACTCTATTTTCTCAAGAACATGCGCTCAAACCTCTTCTCATCTTTTCAATTGTGTATGCACTGTATTTACACAGTCTGTGTGTAGTTACATTTGCTGAAGGCATTTTACAAGTTCTGATTAGTTTGAAAATTGAACAAAACAAATTACTAAAGCACTTCAACATACCCGCCAGTATAAATAACTCTTGTTCTGGACTGTTACATTATTTCGCCATATAGAGAGATTCAGCTGCCAGACAGGATTTTATGTGGTTGCTTTCATTAAAATTCATCACTCATGACTCCAGAACTTGATTAGTCATTCACAAAGATTTGTTTGTGTTGAAAGGGTCATCTTCTGCTAGCTCGTGCTTCACAGTGTTTGGGAAAATATGGATTACAGCAATGTTGTGATGATGTATATGAGTTTTTTGTGCGCTGATGCCCAGCAAGGATGCACAATATAAATATACAAGAAGCAGAGAAACACAAAAAACGCATAATGCAACAGTAAGGCTACGGAAGTAAAAATCACATTCACTTTCTTCATAGAGACATTGATTTTTACCAATAAAAATAATATATAAAGCTTATTTATATTATTTATAAACTACTTATATTTTATTATATATAGGCCTATATTTTTGTTTTTTATTTATTTATTTATTTTTGCATTTAATTTTATACTTCTACACAATGACCGTTATCAGTTTTTTTATATTGTATCGTAGTTTTGGTTTGATTACTATTCTGTACTGTATATTCCCTCAAAAAAAAAAGTCTTGAACATTTATTATTTATTTTATCCCAACCATTTGTCCTATGTAGAGTCATGTTTTTTATTTTATTTTATTACATTTTTAAATGCTTTAAAACAGAGTTTACATGTGGTGCATCTTATCTTTTTGGTTTTTTCTATGGTGAAAAATACTTTCTGAACCAAGGCCACTGGAAAAACTGTGCGGTCACTGTTGTGCTCAGTAAGGAGATCAATTTCTAGTAGAAGACCTTTTTTAGTAAACATGGAGTACTTGGGAAGGTGTTTTTAAATCCTTTAAGGATCAGTCTGTGATTTTGTCCGTTGGGTCAGTATCTGCCCTGCTCATTTTCAGTTCTGCTACAGTAAGGTACAAACTTTCAAAAGCAAGTACTCAAACAAACACTGTACCTCAATGTGGAGCAGCCTTTAATTCTCAAATAAGACATGAACACATTGTCGAGGGAACACATAGTCTTCAATTAATTTTAACCAACAATCTGTGATGGCGACATTTGGTAGGCACAGCATGATTACTGCACATCTGCTGAAACCTGTAATAATTTATTCATTTAAGGTCAAATGTAACACATGCCTGCCCATAGACTGAGTCTGTTGTGATTAATGGGGACAGAAGAGACACTTGAGGGGGGGGGGGGTCATTTTGGGGGGAGCAGCTGACTCATTTGCATTCAGTCCGTCTCACTGAAACAAGCCGAGAGAGAGAGAGTCAAGTGACAGAATCAAGAAGGCTGTCTGCCCACCTTTGGTCACCCACAGCAACAGAAACCTTTTTTTATTGCGGTCACATACATACAGTCACATGTGACTCATGGGATTGAACTGAGAAACCTTCAGACAGATGAATGAAGCGATTATGGTGATGCTTTTGTTCAGGGTGGAGGTTGAATATGTGCCACGCTCCCTGAAAAGATTTCTGCCACTTGTAGTTTTAACCCTTTAAAGCCTGTCATAGAAAAGAATAGTCAGAATTTCTTTGATGGAACAGTTTATTCAACCTTAGAACCTTGAATTAAAAAGGAAACCTAAAGAAATCATACAAGTTTTATGTGTTGTATCATATTTGATACATCAGGCTTTTATGGCCCATAGTAGTGCTATAGGGAGAATATGGAGCTCATTCTTGGGAAGAAACAAAGTAAAACAGTTTTATTCAGAGGCCCAACCTGAGCAGAAATGCAATTTGGTGCAGATCGTATTTATATGTTGCAATTCTGATATCTTGTAATGAAAATCAATTAGATTTTTAGGCCCATATCAGACTACTACTCATTTGCATTCAGTCCGTCTCACTGAAACAAGCCGAGAGAGAGAGAGAGAGAGTCAAGTGACAGAATCAAGAAGGCTGTCTGCCCACCTTTGGTCACCCACAGCAACAGAAACCTTTTTTTATTGCGGTCACATACATACAGTCACATGTGACTCATGGGATTGAACTGAGAAACCTTCAGACAGATGAATGAAGCGATTATGGTGATGCTTTTGTTCAGGGTGGAGGTTGAATATGTGCCACGCTCCCTGAAAAGATTTCTGCCACTTGTAGTTTTAACCCTTTAAAGCCTGTCATAGAAAAGAATAGTCAGAATTTCTTTGATGGAACAGTTTATTCAACCTTAGAACCTTGAATTAAAAAGGAAACCTAAAGAAATCATACAAGTTTTATGTGTTGTATCATATTTGATACATCAGGCTTTTATGGCCCATAGTAGTGCTATAGGGAGAATATGGAGCTCATTCTTGGGAAGAAACAAAGTAAAACCGTTTTATTCAGAGGCCCAACCTGAGCAGAAATGCAATTTGGTGCAGATCGTATTTATATGTTGCAATTCCGATATCTTGTAATGAAAATCAATGAGATTTTTAGGCCCATATCAGACTACTCGCATTAAAATGCTAAATATTAGTTCTTACTCTATATCTCCCAATAAAATGTTTTAATAAGATGATATTTTGAAATACTGAATCTAGCAATGTGCAGTATAATATATAGTACACCTCTTGCTTACATTTAGACCCACCTTTACTAATTTCACTCCTCATCTTCAAAACGGTTTGACTTTTCCTCATAAAATAATATGCCTACTGCAAACATGTTTTTAAAGTTGATCACCTGGGGTTTAGATGTTTTACAAATAAGAAAGTAATTTTTGAGGAAATAGCGCCCCCATGTGTGACTCTTAATAATCTTAGCGGCAAACAAAATAAAAGTCCCGTTTCACCGCCCCAGTATTTCCTCAAAACACCCTATAATATTACCGCGTCTGATTTGTCAGTGTAGTATTAAATAACATTCTTATTTGAATATTACATGATTTAAAAATACATATAGTTTTTAATTATTATTTCTTAATCCTCTTAAATTTTAAATGACGTACTGAATTTGGGAAAGCTAGTAGGAAGCGATCCAGGCCTGCTGACGTCACTTCCTGATGGAAGACTCATTCTGAGATTCGGAAGGGACGAGTATTTTATTCTTATTACAGGTAATTGCATTTTTATCCATCAATTAAGCATTAAAATGACTACAATATAAATGTATCTTAGGCGTCTCTCTTTGTAGACGGCTAAATTTATAGCACACGGTACAGTGAGTTAAACATGGTTCAGCAGAAAACCGTAGCCGTCATCCAATTGAACTTCCTCGAAAATAATTCCAGCACGCGACAAAAACGGCTGTGATTATTAGCGGAAGTGTTTTGCTAGTTAAAATGCACCTTACTGGTCAGCGTAAGCTAATTCAGAGTCCTGCTGCTTCTAACACTGCATCAATTAAATGATAACGTGTGTGTGTGTGTGTGTGTGTGTGTGTGTGTGTGTGTGTGTGTGTGTGTGTGTGTGTGTGTGTGTGTGTATATATATATATATATATATATATGTGTATA